GGGATTATGTTGTCTCATGTAAGAGGCAGCTTGCTTTTCTGGGCCGACGGAACGGATCCAAGGAGTTTGCTGCTGTGAACCCTTGAGGTCCAAAACAAAACCTGAAATCACTGTTTATGACACTACAGCCTCTGAAAAGAGAGATGTGCGTAGTTAAGATGTGCTTGGCAATCTGGATTTCTAGCAAAAGGAGCCCAGAAAGCCAAAAAGATAAGGGATTTGCTTTTCATGAGGCTAATCAAGGCAGCAAATTAGCACTGTTCAGTACTGTACAGTGAAACATATCAATGAGCAAACTTAATCAAATCCATTGTGGATTGTGCGTAACAGGTAGAACTGCCAAAGGGGTTTCTGTGGGGGTGAAAATATAGAAGTTTGAAAATTACAGGCTGACAGGTTTGAAAGCAATTAAGGTAATAGGAGGCAAAGTGCTTAGCTTACCCATCTATCCATGGGGGAGGATTAGGGTGAAAAATGTTGGTGCTGCATACAGAATGTTCCCAAATGCTGCTGTTCTGGTGAGGTATTTCGGGACCAGCTCTGACAGGTATTTAGATATTAGTGTCCTCTACAGACGTTGCAGGTGTTCAGATCTGTGCAAATTCTCAACTTTCTTATCACACTGTATTGCAGAAAGTACAGAAGCTCTGCACTGCAGAACCGTTGTGCCTCAGTTTCCCTGTAAAAATGGAGGCAGTAATACTGACCTATAACACAGTGGATTATAGGGCTGAATGTTTGCAATTCCATATGCCTTGCATTTGAAGATCTAAAAGTGCTTTACAAAGTATTATTGTCCTGGACCAGAAATCTACAAGGAAGAATGTTTGAGGTGTATTTTTAAGCTGTACAAAAACAGAAAGCGCAGCAGATCTGACAAAAAGCTCTTCCCGCATGCTTGAAAATTTATCTAAAACTTTCCAGAAATGAGGATGCTGGTTTGAAGTCTACTCAGTATTACCCATTAACACACAATAATCCACATCTAGAGCTGATGGGGAAAATGCAGACAAATTTTGCAAAAACTTTTCATAATTTTTCACAGAAATAATCATCAACTATGACCCCACATGGAAACAGTAACCAGATTTTCATCCACTGTGGCCTATACAAATATAATTTATTTGTTTGTTTGTTTTTGTTTAAATCCTGCTAAAAGTAATGCAGGATCTTTTTCGCAGGCCTGCTTGGACAGTCCTCCAAAATGAATTAGACCTAATGCAAAGAGAATTCAGATCTTCTGCTCAAAATGGATTGTTGAAAACCTCTGCCTGTGTTTTTTCTATACACTGTCTGTCCTTCACAGTTCTGTATTCGGTTTGTCCTTCATTTTTTTCCCCACTGTGCTGTCTGCATGCAGCATTCACACAGCGTTGTCACAGTGCAGTATCTCCTGGCAACTAGGCATTCATTCCCAATTAATTTCCATTGACAATAAGAACAGATGATCATATCTGTGCAGGTTTTATCACAATACCAGCCAGCGCTGCCCTACTGGAAACAGTTAAGAGCGTATTTTGTCTGGTTTCCTACTAAAGATGGCTGATAATGTGAAGAACAGTGACGAGACCTGCAACAGCAGCTTCTTCAACAGCAGATTCACAGAGTTTAATGCCAGAAGAGACCCATTGAATCATCTAGTTTGGCCGCCTGTATATCACGGGATTAAATTTCGCCCAGTTACCCTTGTATTGAACCCAATAATTTGTGTTTGACTAAAGGAAATCTTCCAGAAAGGCATCCAGTCTTTATTTGGAGACATCAAGAGATGTGCCTGTTTATTTACCACTTCTCTTGGTACTTGTTCCAACGGTATTAATACACAGTGATCACATCACCTCTCTATCTTCTTTTTCGATGTGAAACAGATCGAGCTCTCTAATGGGAAGGAATTTCTCCAGCCCTTGAATCATTTTTGTAGCTCTTCACTGCACCCTCTCCAATTTTTCAACATCTTTTGTACAATGTGGACACCAGAACGGGGCTCAGCGTTCCAGTCGCAATACTGCTGTATCGCCTTCCGGCTCCTGCTCGCGATCCTCCTGTTCATACACTCAAGGATCACGTTAGCCCTTGTGCCACAGCATCGCACAGGGAGCTCGGGTTCCGTGGTTTGTCTGCAATGAGCCCTAAAGCCCTTTTGGAGTAACTGCTTTCCAGGATACAGTCCCCAATCTGCAGGTGTGGCCTGTATTCCTTGTTCTAGGTGTGTAACTTTGCACTGGGCTGTATTCAAATACATTTTAATTGAATGGGCCTAGGTTAGTCTACGTTTTGAAGTCTATCAGTTAGCCAGTTCTAAATCCACTTACTGTGTGCTCTATTAACACTGTATGTGCTTATTTTAAGCCACGCGTGGTCCCCACCCGGCCCAATGACTTTACCAAGTGCAGGGAAGGTTGTCAGATCCCAAAGCAAAGCTGAGACTTATGCCTTGTGGAAAATGCTCCTGTTAGAACATACGAGATTCAGCCAAGCACAAACATTGAGTATCCAGCCTCAGAGACACCCAAAGGGCAAGAACAGGGATTGTGTTCTCTTGTTTTCTCCGTCTTTCCCATGCCCCACTTTGGCTTGGGCAGGGGGGGAGGGTTGACGGAAAGTAAGGGTGAGACACGCCCTGCATGAATGACTCTTTCGGTGCTGCAACATGCCAGTGATTAGGGCAGTGCCACAGGCTCACCTGGCTCCTTGTCAGTCCAAGCAGGATTCGGCACCAGCTCCCTGGCTCCAGTCAGTCAAAGGCCCTTTCCCCCTCCACACCCTCCCTCAAGGCAACGCCTTCCTCAGACCCACCTGTGAGCTGAGACTTGCGAGGTTGCTATTTCTGCCCTGGCACCAAGAGAAATGGGATTCGGAGCCTGATCTGCCCAGACGGCCTTGCCCACCAACCTTTCGATGCAATCTGCTTTGTACTTTCCCTGTTCCCATTTCGGTGCCCTCCGCAGAGGACTAGCTTTGCGGCCGGCTCACTGGTGGCAAGAGCGCCCCCGGAGCCTGATTTACACTTACACTGTGGTTTCTCAGTGCTTGGTTACACGGCTGGTTTCAAATTGAAGCCATAAAACATGGTGGAAGCCTAAAAATATAGAAGAGAACTTTGTTCCTTCCTCTTCCCAGTGGTTTTCCTGAGATTGCAGCACACCTCTCCCCAGGCCCTTTGCTCTAGGGTCATGCTCCACTACATTATTATTTGTTGTTATTGGTACTGGGGGAGCCCCCAGGAGTCCCAGTCATGGAACTGCACCCCACTATGCCCAGCGCTCTACAAACACAGTCCCTGCCCCAAAATTATTTATCTGCATCGGGTATTTACACAGCACCAATTCCCATACCGCACTGAGATACCATCTCCTGCTGTACGTGACCATGGCCCTATAAGGTAGGTAGAAGGCATCAGACAGAGCCCAGCCCCAAAGATCTTGTGATTTGTTAGTATGAGGCCCCATAAATGTGCAAGGTGCCCCATCAAAAGGTCAAGAGACAGTCCCTATCAAACAGCATATAATCTAGAGCCTTGAACCTGCTCTCATGGCAAGTAACTCTAGTGAGTTCACCAGGGCTACTCCTGATTCACGCCGGTCTAACTGAAACCAGGTCAACACTACAGACCTAATCGGTATAACGATGTTGCTCAGAGATATGAAAAATCCACACCCGTGAGCGATGTAGTTACACCGACCTAACCCCCCATGTAGACATCGCTACGGTGACAGGAGAGCTTCTTCCACAGCCAGAGCTACCGCCTCTTGGGGAGGTGGATTAACTGCGCTGATGGGAGAAGCTCTCCTTTCAGCGTAGGAGCATCTTCACTACAGCGCTACCGCAGCATACCTGCACCTGAGCAGCTGCGCCATTGTAGTGCTGTATATGAAGATGAGCCCTAAGGAGAGAATAAGGCCTAGGTTAGGTATGGTATATGGCGGGGAGATATGGCCTTAGGCAAGGTGCAGCACCTTGCCTGATGCTATGTTGACCAATGGGGATGAAGGAGCATGAATCGTTGGCATAGACTCCAGAGGCAAAAGGCAATACAATATTGGAGAGGAGCAGCCTATAACACAGAGGTGCGCATGGTCTTCACAATCTCCCCAGATACCGCCCCGTCACGTGCCTGAGTGTTCTGACGGGACAATCCCAGCAGGTGAAAAGGCAGTTCCTCCTCATGGCCTCCCTGCTGAGATTGCCAGCAAGGGGTCTACCTGGGAGGCTGGCATCTGTGCACTGGGAAATGGACGGAGACTACCCACTCGTTTCACATAAGCCACTGCAAATTCATCACCCTATCGTCTACCACTCCCTCGCCTGTGGCTGAGCCAGTGCCCTAGAGGCGATCTTCTCCATTTTCAACCCTCTCCGTCAACTTCCTTTGACTTGATTTTTAATATTAAACAGAGTTAGCCCAATTCTATCCCTTGACCTGTGGCCATAATTAATCTCTTTATTCCTATGTGTACTGTATCGCCTGATTCATGCTTTCCAGCTCCCGCCTTTGCCTTAGATCTGCAAGGGTCCCTTACCCTGAAACCGATACCAGATTTGGATGCTGTGTGCTCATAGATTAAATGAAATTCCGGTGTCAGACAATTTTGACATCTCTAGTACTCACCTTTAGAAGAGATTATCTTCTGTCAATTCAAACAATGCACGAGCTCCGAGCTGACTGAGTGATTTGAAATCACACAGAACCTGCTGAGCCTTTCTAGCCTCTGGGACAGTTCATAGAAACGCAGGTGATGGGCTGGATTGTGGAGAGCTTCTGATCTGTCATTTAAAGGGATTAGCGAGAGGAAGGGCAACCCAGATGCTTGCACCAGCATGCAATGGGGAGCTACTGGCAAACAGAAGCCTTGGAACAGAAAACTCTATGCTGCACTCCGTGGGTTCTGTGCAACAATTTAGATGAGCTGGAATGAGTAAAGTACCATAAAATTGTCATCTTTGTGTACAAAATTCAGTTAAAAAAACAAAATACTTTAAACACACACATTCTGGAAATGCAGCTTTTAAAAATCTGTTAAAAAAAGAATTAAAAAAATAAAAATCCAAACAAGCTCACGGCCAGCAAAGAATAACAGAAATAGTGACAATCGTCTGGACCGTGGCATATGGTATAAATATATAGGGATTAATTTACCATTTTAAGTAGAACAAATATGGCTGTTACATCATTGGAGGTCATGTTAGTGTGCCAAGAATTCAGTCGGACAATAAATCATAGTGACTTGGCCATGGCTTGATTAGATAGAGGCAAACTGCAAAGAGGAAGGAAACACATCCTGACAGCATGTGGGCTAGGTTCACAGAGCAGCTCAATCGGTTTTCTGTCTTCAAACAAACGTGGTCGAGGAAATTCAGAAACAGAAAATCTATGGAGGGAAAAGTCTCTAAAGCTGATAACAACAGGACTCTGTCTCTTGGTAGGTGGAGTAAGATGAAAGCTTCGACAGATGCTCCAGGAACACGTCATTCTACTGACCCTCAGGCAAAGCCTCCTCTTTATTGATAGGCAACCTTCACACAGAAGGTTTCTTCATTCTTGTCTTCGTGGTCATTGATATAAATCAGAATCTCCTCCTCCCCGGTGCTCTGGCTTGGTGCAAACCGCAAGCCAATCGTGTACATCTCCCCTCCTCCAATCTGCAAAAAGAGTGAGATGACAGCGCTAAACATCTCCATTCTCCCTACACCAGCACGGCTCGCACTAGCACTCACGTGTGCATTTGGCACCGAGCTGCAAGAGGGGTCTGTCAGCTGACAAAACAGGCATGGGAGGTGTGCCCGACAGTAACACATAACATGTCCCTGTGTCAGACATCCCAACCCACTGAGTTCACACAGCACCATCCTTCCCTAGCAAACCCTTACAGAGCACAAAAGAAGTCTGAAGTTTTCAAACCGCATGAAGCTTACTCATCTATTTCCAGTCTCCCTGAGCAAATGATGCCGTTTCACTGTGAGTGGAACATGCATTCTAGGATTCATGGTAAAAACCAAATGATGGACCACAAGAGAGCACGACATGCAGGAAAACATTCTCAGGGTGATTTTCAAACGTGTTCACCTCCCAGATCTCCTACTGAAGTCAATAGGTGCAGCCACTGGGCATTGGAGAAAATCATTAACTTTGGAAAACCTTTGAGGATTGAAAACCAGAGAGACAGGCAGGCCTGCTGCAAGGGTATCTGAGCTTCTCCAGCCACTCTGTTTGGTTTGCTACCTCAAAGGAATCCTCCTTGAACTGCAGCAGGTCAGCTCGGTTGGTATGCAGGAAGTACATCCTCCTGGAGGGATATGGGTTCGTGTATGTGATCCGCTTGTTGGAGCCTTTCCCTCCGCCGGCAGGGAGTGTTATTTCAAATGCCTGTGGTTACATATAACAAATCACAGCGTTGTCATTTCAGTTCTGACACAGGCCAAGTCTGAGTAAAAGCACAATGGTTTCCCATATAGTGTAGTAAACACCCCCAGGAAGATTTCCCTTTATTCTGGAGTCACTACCAAAATGTTCAGTAAATTTGCAGAGAGTAAGAACTACTTTATGGAACCCAGCAATGAGTTATTAGAACATGGAAGCGAAGTGATTATGACCCAATCTCAGATACTGTTCAGGCCATTTATGGAAGAAATAACAGAGACGTCTTCTGTTCTTGCTGCCAGGCATATAGACTAGAAGATCCGAAAGGAGCTATCCAGTCCGCACTATCTATCATTCTAAGGCTAACTGTGGATTCAAATCTCCTAGGACCATGTTCATAGGAACAAGAGGCAGGTGGGTCCAAAGTACTCGAGGCTGGCCTGAATCTGCTCCCACCGAAGCCAGTGGTCGAACTCTCATTAGGCCAAGGCTCAGTGTTTTTGAAAATCCCTTTCAAAATGTTTTGACCAGAAACTTTAAGGGGTGTCTTCAGGCTACCCCGATCAGCCCCCTCTCTCCCCACTGCACACCCCATGGCGATGGTGTCCGTGCTGGTTGCAATGCCTCGTGTCTGTTCATTAGTGCTGGTTAGGGTGACCAGATGTCCCGATTTTATAGGGACAGTCCCGATTTTTGGGTCTTTTTCTTATATAGGCTCCTATTACCCCCCACCCCCTGTCCCGATTTTTCACACTTGTTGTCTGATCACCCTAGTGCTGGTCAGAGGAACTTTTCTTCCTCAGTGGATCCTTTGTTAGGCTATTCCCAATGGGTGTGCCAGAGAGGGCCCACTTGAAACCCTTTATTGAAGGCTAAAGTGCTGCATAGGCCTTGCACGGGGGAAACTTTCACTCACTCTGAACACATTAGTTCCCTCACCTCCCCCTGCTTTCCTCTCAGCTCCCACGCAGCTCCCCCAGCCTGAATTCTGCAGCGAGTCTTTTGTATATACGGGGTTATTAGCCTGAATGACAAAGGGACTCAGCTGGGATCATAGCCAGGCTCCTTCGCCAGCTAGCTAGCTAATTTATTTCCATTAGGACAACCACGGTGCTAATTCCCTCACATGGCATACGGGAGTGGTTCTGTCGTTACGAGGGAAGTGTAGCAGTGCTGTACTGTTGCGCTTAACTTCCCCCAATATGGAGTATTTCAGGGAAACGTTTAAAACTGAACAGTGGCCCGAAATCCCAGAGCAGACTGGAGTCAGCGCTAATAGGAAATACCCCTGCTGTCACTGACTTTCAGAATGGGGGCTCTACGGGTGGAGCTACCTTCAAAACAGAGGCCGAACATGATTTTCTGATGGTTTTCAGCGGGATTGTTCACAGGCTGAAAGTTAAGCACATGCTTAAGTGCATCCTAGATCCAGGTCACAGTGCCCAGCACGATGTAACCCATAACATACAGCAGGTTCCCTCTAAATCCTCTATGATATATTCTGAATACAAGAGCTACCCACAACTGTTACCATAGACACACATGCCACTACAGCCCTGATTCTGGAAAGCACTTAAACACGTGCATAAAGTCCCGCTGACTTCAGTGGCAGTTAAGCACGTGCTTTCCTGAATAGGCATGGATTTGTGCTTCGGTGCTTTCCTGACCTGGGGCCTGTATACATAAAATCGGGAGAAGGAGTAGTATTTATGTACAAAGGGAAAAACCACTAGTGCTTCCTCTGGTTATACCCAGGACCATACCTAAAGCAGCTGTCCAGACATAGTAATATAAAGTTATTATTATAATTCCTATGGCAATTTGATTGTATATGGCATGTGAAGGCAGTTACTTTGGGGCTAGTTGCTGTTAAAAATATTACTACTTTAAGGTGATTAACTCAAAGAATAAAGTGGTTTTGTCACTATCTGTCCCAGATGTTTAGGAATCAGTTTTATGATCCTATAATCTATTCCTGGTGAAGGGAAGAGTCTTTCAAGGTTGAAAAGACTGCAAAGAAAGAAAAACACTGCCCAAAGAATAATTATAAAAAATCAAAATGTTCTACACACATTCTGGAGTTCTAACAACACAGGATAATAGTCTTGTCCTTCCTGTACAATGGATGATTTGGAAGTTTTTCATACTCAATGCAAGGGACTGATTTCTGACGAGAAGTGGTGGCTAAAGGCTATGGTGATGGGTGACAGAGATAGACAGTAAATAGATAGCTATGGATGGTAGTGACCGTTCCGGTAAAACTAGTCAGCTCACTTTGCACTCAGGGCAGTTCCATCTTTGGCAAATAAGATTTAACTAGCAGCTAACAGCCCATGCTGTCGCACAGGGTAATTTGTAGAGTCAACATGGCTGAGAACTTAAAAATTTGATCGTAACAGACCACGAATCCCAGTGATGACTGAACCTGGCGACATTCTAAACAAAAAGAGCTCTCAGCCATGCTTGTAGCTGTTTCCATCACTTCACACTGACTCAACAGACATTCTAGGCTTACGAGTGACACACAGACAGAGTGACCTGCCTGGAATGTTGTTATATGGGTGCACCCAGGTACCTTGGAAATGACAGGCTGTCGGCAGGAGACACACACCAGCCAGGACGAAACAAGCTGGTGGTACTCCACATCCACCAGATTGAGGTAAACAAATCTGCTGCCAGCTTTCTGAGGCCTCACGCCGATATGCAGGTCCTGCACCCCGTTCGGAGGGAGAATAAACACGCCTTTGGGATCCACCTACAGGAAGTGAGCAAAATGGAAACAGGCAGGAATGGCCAAACGTTAGTGCAGCAACCAAGCTGTAGGAACACAAATTCTACACATGCCGATAGGGCCTCTCTGCCTCTCAGGAAAGACAATGAAAAGGTTTAATTAGAATCCCCAAATGATGTATCTCTCAGGTCCTGGGAATTAGGTCTCAATCTGGTACACTCCAGCTCAAAATGTTTTATATTAAAAATGCAAGAAAATCAGAATTGTCTAGATGAAAACGAAAGATGGTATCAGGGATGATCAAAGTTATCGGCACTGTTAATATAACATGTTATTGGGATAGTCTCAGCATGAGAGACAGTGGAGGAGAAATTAACCCAAACTTTTACATGTGCCATGAAAGATCTTTTTAGAGGCACCAACCTGGTGTCCTTTGATCAAGTCAGAAGGGAAGCTAATCTACTGTACCTTCTAGACGCCAGTTTGGAATATAAATTAGACACTGATCAAATGTCGAGAAATGTGTGTTTCTGAGAAGGAAATTAAAGCTGGATGCATTAATAAACTAGGCTCTAACTTCATTGTCAAATCTCTGTCTGAGTTGCACATTCAGAGTCTGTCTGCAGAGGAACTTTGCTTAGCAGAATGAATTTCAATAACAAAAATGTAGTTAGCAACATCTAGAGTGCTAATCTCAGCTAGAAATGTTAACCCTGTTACTGCCCTGTGGATGCCTGATGCAGGATCAAAAAAATGCTTTCAATAGAGTGCTATACATTGAAGGTATACTTGAGGCATGAGATGCCATGTGCAAAACAGATGGTCTCTGAATATATTTGGTTTTGTTGAGTTATGTACTTTAATGTTACAGCCATCATTTTTATTTTATACACACACCCGGCAAAGATAGTTCTGGCATTTTGTGTTTTACTTAAAAATTCTTTTCTGAGAGCCCTATCAATATGATATCGACTACCAGAATACCGTCTGATTAGCTAGAAGGAAAGTTATTTGTAGAGCTGGAACTTCCTACTTGAAGTGGAATAGATACTTTGAAATATCAGAGTAACAGACACTTTCATTTTAGGTGCCAAACAGATTTATGAATCAGATAAAAGACCCATGTGACATTACACAGCAAACAAGGAGGGGAGGGGGTGTTTAATCTCCTGAGAGAGGCTTATCTGACAGGGTCTAATGCTTTCCTCAACTGCTGACAAGCTCAGCTTCTTCACATTAGCATGATATTCACACTCCGAAAAGGGAGATGCTTATCAACCTGCTCTAGGAAGGAGAGTCTGGAGCTAGTCCTTAGAGTTCAATGAAAACCATTTGCTAAGGCCGTCAAAAAGAAACCTGCTTCACTTAGCACAGGCACAAGTTGTGAGATCGAGGCCCACGTTTTCAAAATTCTGTGTGCCTCTGTCGCTTGTTGGCCAGTTTTTCAGACTCACGGGGCCTGATTTTCCGAGCTGGCAAGCGCCCCAATTTCCAGCTGAGAGCAGGGCGAGTTATGGGTGCTCAACGCCTCTTAAAATCAGGCTCTAGGGGTTTCAAGCTAAAAGTTGGAACAGCCATAATTAGTGGACACTTTGATAATTTGGTCCTGAACTAATAACATTGATGCAGCAAAGCTCAAGGAGTGTCAAGAGGGTTTGGAAGAGGCCAGTCTAAAGGCAAAGCGGCGTCTATGTAAAATCTGAACAGAGTTTGATGTGCACGGTCACAGCGTGGCTGGCCCCTGTGCAGTAGGCCTAGCTCCCCTCTGCCAGGGCAGGAGTCCCCATTTGTCTGATGAAGAGGGCAGGAGGGCAGCAGGTGGGTACTAATAAAGGTCAGGAAGAGGCCCAGTGAGTCAGAGCAGACTGGTTCAGTCAGGGGCAGGTTACACCAGAGGAGGTCCCAGAAGGAAGCAGAAGGTGATTCCTAGAAAAGGCAGGAGATCAGCAAGCGGTGTTTGCTGGCTGGTGTGTCCCCAAGCCAGAAAGCCAGGGCTGGAGGGCTAAGGAGGGCTGAAAGCACCAGGAGGAGATGGCTGTAGGCTCTAAGCTGAAGATCTGGAGCCAGGGGCCACAGAGGGCTGAAGGCAAGGGAGCAGCAAAGGGGCTTGCCCACTGACATCTCCAGGGCCAGAACTGGACCCAGAGCAACCATGAGAGAGTCAGGGGGAATGAGGGGAGCTCCCCTGACAAGAATGTTCCCAGGAGAGAGGCTGTGGGGGTTCCCGCTGGGAAAAGAGGGTTTGCACTCTGGGTGGAAGGATGGCTGTTCTGGTACAAGGACAGGAGAGGGCTGTGCTGGAGAGCCGGGATGTGGTGAGGGACACCGGGGCTGCACTGGAGGGCTGGGATGTGGTGAGAGACACTGGGGCTGCACTGGAGGGCTGGGATGTGGTGAGGGACACTGGGGCTGCACTGGAGGGCTGGGATGTGGTGAGAGACACTGGGGCTGTATGTTACATGTACTAGTTGGACTATGTTGGGGGAAATCTGGACTCTGGCTGTGGAACTTTTGCAATGATTTATATACATGGGACTTTTGTAATAAATGAACCCAACAAGACCTATATTTACAGTAAGAAAGACTGTTTGGATTGTTTCGGAGGACTCTGAAAGGGGAAACTGAGGGTGCTCCAGGCCGGGGCTGCCTTCTCACACATGCTTCCCTGCAATGTATTACAGTTTTAATTACCACTTCAGCCAACGACAGCCCAGCCCCGATGTCACAAGAAGCTAACACAGAATTCAAGATGTACAACTCCCAACCATAATTCAGGTCACTGCAATGAAAGCCGCCCATTGTGGTAACTGAGCTCGCTTGGGACGCCGTCAAGGGGATTCATCTCCACGTTCTGCCTCAGTGAGGACAACATTTAAACACGGATTTCTTTATTTCCTAATTTCTGGAGTGGCAATGGAGTTTGTGTGTCTTTTATTATTCACATTTATAATTACGACTAAATGAATTCTAAAGAAATTATTAGTCTTCAGATAGTCTCATTAATTCAGATAATTTGCCCCCTGGGGTTTTGTACCAATGATCCTACACATGACGACTTTAATCAAAAGATAATTATAATGAAGACTTTATGGCAGTAAATTGTTCATAATTCCTAATGGGATTGGTTTCATATTGGAGGGTTATTTTCACTGGGACTGTCAATGTAAGTCCATTCATAATTATAATTGTGAAGGATTTCACTAATTTTCAACTCACCCCTAACTACAGACTCTTCCAAATGAAAAGTTTCTCTTTGTGGTGGGGAAGGAAGAGAGGAATTGGCAGCAAACACTGCTGAGTCCAATGGCAGAGCCTACCTTCAGCTCCTGGGTATGCGAGGTGTAAGCTCTCACTTTCCGGATGGTTTGGGTGCCCCTGAGAACCAAGGAAAGGCGGGTCAGCTGGCCAGTTATGCAGCTAACGTCCACACGTTGCAGCGAGTGAAGGTAAAATTGCCAGATCTGAATGGGAGCAGCAAGCCAGGTGTCCCTGGAGCAGAGAGAAGAGGCGCCTGTCATGACGGTACCAAAGGAAAAGGTGACACTGGTTCAGGAGGCATTTCCAAAATGAATGAAAACATACAACTGCAGATGGGAAGGAGGAAATTGTGCTTCCGGTTCCGAAGTGTTTGCACATGCACTCACGTACACCGTGTAAAAGGCATGCACAGGAATTCCAGAGAAGACAAGTTTGGCTGAGATATGTGAATCGACTTCACTCCCAGGCAACCTTACGCAGGTGAAATTTTCCAAAGCCCCTGGCTGTTTCGGGAGTTTCAGTCCCGTTGAAAGTCAAGCTGAGCTACTGCCCCAAGGCTCAGACAGGCCCAGAGGATACGCAGGGTGCACACCCCGCAGTGATCAGAGAGGGGATGGAGTGAGTATTCTCCCCACCAAGCTGTACAAGGCAACCCCACAGAGCCCAACTGTGGGGAAATAATCCATTAAGTGAGACTAGATGGATTTGTCTAACGCAACTAAAGAAAAAGCAGACAGCCAGAGGGAACTGCTGTTATTTCGTCTCACCTCAGCCCTCATTCAGAGCTCAAGGAGACATCAGCTGCCACAGACACAGATCACTGTAATGAACAGTTTCTCAGGAAGTGGGCTTTCTCGCTGTGGGTGTGCATTCAGTCCTCACTATATGTGCGTGTGTTTTCTATTGTCTCTTGTACAAAAATCTTCAGAACCCCCTAAACATCTTCCACCCTAGTCTGGGTTTTGCAAGCAGACGTATTTCAAGAGAATCATACAGATCTTCTTGCAGATTTTTGCTTGTCAGAAACATAAGTCATGCGCTGGAACCAGTGTCCTAGGAATGTTCCATGTGCATTTCCTTATCTGCTCTGACAAGGTTTCTGGAGAATTCTCGCTCTTCTACTTTTAGATTCTCCTACTTACGTGTAAATAGCAACAAAGAATGTTTTGATCTGTGGGCTTGGTCCTCCAGCTACTTTTAAGAACACATCCTGTGGCTCCCCAGGACCCTGAGTACAGAAATCAGAAAGCATCATTAGAATAGTTAACCGAGAGATCAAACCAGCTAACGAGGACCCCAGGGGTTCCTTTTCCCTTTATTTTAACCCCCCACCACTTCACTTCCACAAGCAGAGGGTTCCAGAACCCAGCTAAACTACCCTATAAAATTATTATACAGCTTGGCTTCTTCCAGCATTTTTAATTACAAAAGAGGATACAAATGGCTCTCACATTCCGGGTCTGTTTCAGTAATTAGATTTTGCAGAATTTTCCCCAAGTTTTCTAACAAGCCATAATCCAATTACCATGCTAGCAGATTTCTGCAATGGCAATTAACAAGCACCTTCATTACCATCCGCATTTATGTGTGAGTTTGTTTTTCATTTAAATCCCAACCGGCTGAAAATAAAACCCAGGAAACTTGGAATCAGAGCTAAAAATTACAACACAGAGCACATCATGAGCTGCTTTTCTATGCATCTCCCTCTGATGGCCTGATCCAAAGCCCATTGACAGTCAGTGAGAGCCTGTCATTAACCTCCGTGGGCTTTGGATCCGGCTCTGAAAGCGTCTCAGTTATGAAGTAGATACACTGACTGTCAATGGGTTTTGAATCAGGCCATCAGAGGGAGATGCAGGAGAACAAGCAACACTTGTATGATGGAGAAATATCATCGCCTGAAAGGAAAGGGATCAGAAGTTAGAGCGATCTGTTTATTTATTGATTGATTGATCGTGTGGCCCTCCTCCTTGTAGTATCTGAGTCTTGAGCACTTGGATGCTGGCTTGGAATATGACACAAAGAGCAGCACCGCAATCCAGTTGAGGTTTTGCGGTCTATTCAGTCAGGACACATTTTTATTTCTTTCCTAACTGGTCGTTTTAGACCCTCTGATTTCTGAAGAATTCATCTGTGGCACCTCACTGGAAAGCTGGTGTTTCCATAAGTGGTAGTTTCCACCAGCATTTCAAATCTGGCCTTTCTTCACATGAGCAATGCAGGGCAGCATGACGAATGATGGTCTAAATTGCGGTATTAAACACACGCTGCAAACATGACGAGATCAGGCTAGAGAAGTCCTGTTCCTTTTTGACAGGGGAGTGAGGCAGTCACAACCTAGTAACACCCCATATTCTATCATTACAGATCAATGAACCATTGGTGCATGGTATCTCTGCTTTAGAGAAAGGGATCAATAGAAAAGAGATGGTGAACGTGAAGGATACACTCCACTGGATTTCCGCTTGATTTTTGTAAGTAGTACCATTTTTTTTGTTTCGCAAATGATGTTGGGGTCACTGCAGCGGACGTACATCTCCGGTTCCCCACCTGGCATTCCTGCTGGGGCACCTGGGGAAAAGAGCATAAGATGACCACTCTCCCTGCTGTTAGGCATAGGCCCATCTCCTGCCCCTGTTATCAGGAAGGCCTGCAAGCTGGCAAATCTCTAAGCATGTATCTCTTTAAAATCTACAACCCTGCAAAACAAAACATGGAAACACAAGCGGACACAGTATTTGCATGCCAGTTCCCAGCTGGACGCAGACAGTTACCTGGCAGGGTGTACCATGGAGGTAACCGTATGGACTTCTTCAGGAAGGTGAGCTCCGGGTGATAGAATCGGAATGTCTGATCCACCACGTGGGGCTGAGGCTCCACATTAACACTGAGAATTGCAATGGGTTTGTCACCATTTGCCTTAAAGGAGATCTGTGCAAAACAAAAATAACAATGAATTCGCCGAGAGAGAAAGAAAAGAGACCGTCAACAAATGCTACAGCAGGGGTTGGCAACCGTCCGCATGCAGCCCATCAGGGTAATCCGCTGGCGGGCCATGAGACATTTTGTTTACGTTGACCGTCCGCAGGCACGGCCCCCCGCAGCTCCCAGTGGCCGCGGTTCGCCATTCCCGGCCAATGGGAGGTGCAGGAAGCGGTGGCCAGCACGTCCCTGCGGCCCGCGCCACTTCCCACATTGCCTGCCTACGGTCAATGTAAACAAAATCTTTCGCAGCCCACCAGCAGATTACCCTGATGGGCCGCATGCCGACGGTTGCCGATCCCTGTGCTACAGCAAGAGAAAATACCATCTCTGGCTTTCATTCTGCTCAATAATGGGAACAAAATCAATTCTCAATCTGTTTACAGCTCTGAAGTAGTTACCACTGAATAGCATGGGACCCAGGATGCTATTAAGAAAATTCAATTTAGATAAATATGTGAGGGTAAAATCTAAAACTGTGAATGGAATCTCCAAGGCATTGAAACCATGTATTTCAGGGGAGTAGCTTTAAACCAATACCTGATAGAGGAATTAAAAACCAAGCACAGGATGCTGACATAGAGGTCAATAGATACGTTTGCAAACAAAATCCTTTTTAAAACAATGCTTGCCCTGGTTGTAAAGTCATTGTCTTTTTCTCTTTTCATAACAAAAACTGTATGAGAAGCCACACAGACAGGACTGGGTCCTAAATAGCCATGTTCTCTAAATATATACAAACACATAGAGCCTAGTTACCCATACCCTGCCACACTGGTTTGTGGTGGCATTTACAACAGAGAGCACAGTGAACATCAGCAGAGGGCTCCCAACGCATTAAAAGGGATACTACCCTATTTCTATACACTACAATAGACATCCAATGAAATTCACAAAAGTTTATTTCCTGATAATGAAAAACCTTATGGCCTGCCATAAATGGGCAGTTAAAAGGAATTATATATGTGTAGGCTCAATCTTTGTCACAGGGTTTTGATCCTTGTAACAGGCTGTAAAACTCATTGCAGTCCACCTAAACGACAGCCAGGGCCGGCTCCAGTTTTTTTGCCGCCCCAAGCGGCGAAGCGGGAAAAAAAAAAAAAAGAGAGATAAAGCCGCGATTGGCGGCACTTCGGCGGCAGCTCTACCGCACCGCTTCATTCTTCGGCGGCAATTTGGCAGTGGGTCCTTCGCTCCAAGAGGGACTGAGGAACCTGCCGCTGAATTGCTGCTGAAGACCCGAACGTGCCACCCCTTCCCATTGGCCGCCCCAAGCACCTGCTTCCTTTGCTGGTGCCCGGAGCCGGCCCTGATGACAGCACTTCTTTTTGCCTCTGTTACCTTGATGCGTTTTGTCAGCATGGCACTGGACTTCCAGGGGGGTGCAGCTTCTGTGCCTTTATTGAATCTCAGCTCAGCAGGGCCCTGCTAGAAACAAAGAAGCAATAATCATGCAAAGAAGCAGTGTACATCACGTCATGAATGCATTCTTTGGAATTTTCACCACTGTTTTGTTCTAAATCTATAATGTTTAAGAAACCGTATCACAATGAAAACTAGTAAAGGTAAAATTCTCCTCCCAGAGCCTCCAGCTGTCCCTCTGCTCTTGATCAGCTGCTCTTTACATACACAGATCAATGAAAGTTCCCTGCACGTTGAGAGAGCAGAGATCCACTATACAGATCTGAAAGATAACGTTGTCCTGTAAAACAGGAAGTGCTCTGCTCTCCTTTGCACCTGGGAATTCAGGTACTAACTTTAAAACACCGTGAATTGCAAATTCCTTGCTGTTCCTGGTCTCTTTGCAGTGTTGTTGAGGAAGTGAGAGTTGCTTTTCTATATTTCTGCATGTTCTCATCATTGGTGGCTTTGCTAAAAACTGTGAACATCAATAAAATACTGCACTGTATTGCAGACAGCATCAAGAACCTGGGAGGAGGACTGTTATCATTTGAACCCTCTCTTCTGTCTCATTGCTGAGAGTTAAAGGAGCACTCTAGGATTACATAGCTGGCTTGTACCTCTGGCCTAACCACTCTGAATTCTACAAGCACCCAGCAGCTTTGCCTCGCCTATTCATTTATTCTGTGGCATTGAGCTAAAAAGGGAATAAAAGGGAACTATTTGGATACAATCTCATTTTAAAAGCCAGTTTTATGCTTCTAAAGAGCAGACTAAGGGTCACATTCATCCCACTGATGGAGTTACACCGATGAATTTGGCCCTAAATCTTAACACACAAGAACTGAGAAGCACAGGCGGACGTGAGCCAGTTGCAAAGGTAGAGGGGATTGTTCCCCCTGAAGCTAGCGCCCTGTCTTTAAAATTCAAGCCCTCTCTTTTTTAATCTTCATGTGAGCCTCACAACCTCACAACCACTGTGTGTTTGTTTGCTATGATTCAATCACAACAGATGGACAAGCCACTTTGGCCTCGAAGGTTGAGTCCCTTCTTATTTTTTCCAATTGTGTGTGTTCTTTGTTTCCTGGTTCTGGCTGGGGCCAGAAGAGAAAAGATTACAGAAAAGCCTCTTCCAGATATTTCTGACGTCTCCCAAAGACATTCAGCCATTGCTCCTCTGCAATAAAGACCTGATATTTTTAGGCCTCCCCTTATGAGCTAAGTCATATTTCTGTAAATTTCTTGGTGTGATACGTGGCATACTTTCCTCATTGTTTTATTTGTCCTTTGTCATAATGTAGTAGAAGAGAGAGGGTAATATGTGTACCTGCATCATGACAGCGTGGTCCACAGAGAAGGCCTGGTATTTAAATGGAATGTGAATGGTCTCTTTGGGGCGCAGGTAGACCTGAGGCATGAGGTTGTCCTGAAGATGGAACATGTCCTCTTCTACTGGAGTAGTCATTGTTTGGGTCAGCTCTTTGAAGTGTCTCCACTCCCTACTGTCCACAATAACACTGTGGAAAAAAATCATAGGCAGAGTTACTTTGGGGACAGAAACCCGGGAGCTGGGGTTCCCCCCGATCCCAAAATGAGGCTGTGAGTTATACCTAAACCTCAGTGGGGGGGGGGGGGGGGGGGGGGTTGGAACAAAGACCGTGGCTGGAATGTGCACGCACCCATTAAATGGAAAGAAAACTCCAAAATCCACCACACCTTTGATCTGGGAAATGAAGACCTCTCCTCTCCCCCAATACACCCCCCCCAGAACACTGCACAGTGAGGCACGTGAATTACAGATTGTGGTTGCATTGGTCACTGCTAGTGGCAGGATAACTAGGGTGGCAACTCCTCTGTGCTTAGCTTCTCGGTAACTTGCATTCTCCCATCCCTTTGCATAGTGATACGGGACGTGGGGAGAAAACAAAGAAAAGTGAAATCTCTGGAGGGGGGGAAGCAGGTCATTGGTATATGATGGAGCCCTCATTATAGACTGACCCTCTTTCCCAATAAAGCCTCAAACGCTAGATGGAAAAGCAACAAGCTCAATCCCAAAGACACCTCTTGTCTTGCGCTTCCATAAGTGCCTCTCTGCTCTGGGCTGGCTTTCCAAGTGTAACGTGCAGTATTTGGGAGGGGAGAATGTCTCTGGCTCCTACCTCAGCTCAGGGTGGTCGATCTCGATCGTCACCGTGTGCTGGACGTTGTATGGGTTTCTCAGGGCAAACTCAAAGAACTCTGCTGTGCCCAGCGTGGCATAGAGCGTGTAGTTGGTGGTGATGGCCTGAATCAGCATGCTAGAGATGCTCTCGGCCTTGATGCGCTCCCGGTAGGCATCAATAATCTGCAGGTCCCTGGCGTGCTGGATGCGCTCCTCACGCCGGCCCTATTGAAGAAGAGACGCCTATGACCAACAACACACTGATGTGGGCCCCTCCCCTGCGTGTCTAAGGATTCATCCTAAGGAACCCGACCCCAGCCCTGACACGAGAGATGCGACAGGGTGTTTTGTCAGGCCTGGCTCCCGTTTGCTCTCTGGTCCCAAGATCGTTCCGACAGCGCTCCGTGCTCCTCACCATGCGGCTTGCTCTCCTCCCATTGACGTCCTCCTGGGCTTCGAGCTGTCGCACCATCATCATCCTCTCCAGCTTCCGCCTGCGGATGACGCTGGCCTCGCGGCTGGCGTGCTGGAAGGCCGTGCTCACTTCCTGCAGGCGGCTGAACAGCATGGCAGCCAGCTCGCTGTCCACGTCCGCCAGCTTCTGGGCTTGGGACACGTTCTTAGCTGGGTGCAAAGGAAACAAGGGTCAGAGTCTGGGGCTGAAGGAGTCGGGGTGTGGACCCCATGGGGGACAGTGCAGTAGCCAGCGGAGACGGAGATGGATGGATGACATGGGCAAACAGACGGATATGCTGACTTGAGTTGCCTCAAGCATGCAGGTGTTTGAAGCCTTCTAGACCGGCAAGCTAAGTGAAGCGGTAACCACCAGGAAGGGGAGCCGAGGAACAGCCACTTTGCGGTACATACTGTTCTTTCCTTGACCGAGCCTTAGTCTGGCCTATGGGGCCGATTAAAACTGAGTAGTTCCGGTAGAAGCCTGGGTAGTAAGTGGAATTATACCAAGGTCCCTCTCCCAGGGTTTGGCACTGAAATTGGCAGTGAAAGCAACATGCCCAGGGCTGTCAGGCAGTTTTTTATATTATGCAGTTTCTGAAGCTTTCCACAGACAGCGGATAAATCACATCTCTCCTGATGTGTGGCCATCATGCCAGATCTGAGCAAGAAGGAAAGCCAAGCGACACATTGCGCTATATTAATTCTCTCTGGCCTGTGGATCCCAACTGTGGCCAACAAAAGTTCCTCTCAGTAGTGACAACATAACTACGAGGCCTGGATTAAATACAGAATAAATAACAAGCATCTGGGATTTATGGGGTTCTGGGTTCATCTGGATATTCTGGCGATTGTATAAATCAAACAATCTCAAGCTACCAAATGTTCCAAAAGAGAATTCTGTTCCTCTCCCTTAATTCAAAACCTGCCTGTTTCCTGCTGTACACTATACACACATCTACATTTTTATTAAAATGTTCTTTCGCTTCCCTCCCTCTCATTTCTCCACAAAATTGCCACTGGAGCAGCTCCCAATTGAAGTGCCAGCCAAATATTTAACATGTGAAATACAATCCACTACCAAGCACTTGATGCATGGGATTAAACTCTCTACATGACGTGTAACTCCACACATAGGCTGTTTGAGTCTTGCTGCATTACATTTTCTTTAAAAATTGGTAAACAAGGGTTATTTGCAAATTACCCACCTGAATTTAATTTTAAATCCATTTAACTGCTTCCCAGACATGGCAAATTGGGTTAGACATCTTGAGCCAAAATGCTCGTATTTTAGCAATAGTCATATTTCAGTAAGTGTCCGCAATGTTTAACCTTATGGGCCATGTCAAAAAGTTAATGGGAAAGGAGGATGCCTGGCTGGAAAAGCCTGTCTCAGTAGGGGAGATTCTGCAATTTAAAAGCTGAATGTTCTGTTATCAAAACCATTCCACGGAGGGTGCAGTCATCCAGCATGCACAGCTCAGCACATGGAGCACTCCACCTGGAGTGTGGCACCCAGCCAGGCATTTACATTTCCCATATCTCTGTGCTTCCTAACTCCTGCTGAATTCGAAGAATGTGTGCTGTGGGAGAGAGGATTCAGAGCGGATTTCTGACCCACCGGGGAGGAGAGGAAATCTTGTGAGGGAGCATGTTTTTGAGGGATTTCCAGGTCAGAGAATTTGCTTCAAAATCTAAACCTTTGACTTTTCTCTGAACTGAACCTTATGAGGTTCTCTGGTGAACAGACACACACACACTTGCATGCGTCCTGACACACATGTACACACATGCTCTCCACAAGATGTGGGCTTGATGCGAGAATTTCTGTGCTTTGCAGGAGATCAGACTAGGAGATCATAACGGTCCCTTCTGGCCTTAAAATCTCTGATTCTTCTTCTTCCTGCATTACATTTTTTAACACTTTGTGCAAAATGTCTAATTATTTCAATACTTCATGTGCCTCGTCATAGAATCATAGAAATGTAGGACCTGGATAGATCATCTAGTCTGCACTGAGGCGGGACTGAGTATCATCTACAATCCCTGGTAGGTGTTTGTCTAACCTGTCCTGAAAAACCTCCACTGACGGCAGGATAACTAGGGTAGATTTGACACAAACCTCCAATGACGGAGATGCCATAACCTCCCTAGGTAATTTGTTCCAGTGCTTAACTACCATTACAGTTGAAAAGATTTTCCCCTAAGTCTCTGTTGCTGCAATTTAAGCCTGTTACTTCTTGTCCTGTCCTCAGTGGTTAAGGAGAACAATTTATCATTCACACTTTATAACAACATTTCATGTACTTGAAAACTGTTATCATGTCCCCCCTTAGTCTTCCCTTCCCCAGACTAAATAAACCCATTGTTTTCAGTCTTTCCTCACTGGTCAGGCTTTCTAGACCTTTAATAATTTCCATTGCTCTCCTCTAGACTTTCTCCAATTTGTCCACATCTTTCCTGAAGTGTGGTGCCCAGATGACCACCCAGGTTTTTCATTGGGAATACAGCTGTTGTATAAATCGCTCACGCACAATAGGGCACAATGGGACAACCTGTCCTATTGACACTCATCAGAAAGTCCATTAAAAGCATGCATAGATGCATAATAGTATTTCTGTAGCCCCTATCTCCCCTGGGAATTCTGCTTATGGGCAGCTCTCTTTCATTTCACACACCATCTGGATCTCCTTTGGGAACAGGTGCTTAATTTGGTAAAATATTTCAACGACTCTTACTCAAGAAATATACCCAATTCCAGCTGCACAAACGCATCATGAATAGCACAGGGCAGAGAATGTATATGTATGTGTTCGTCTGTGCTCTTGTGCACTTGCATTTCGGCACAGATGTGCGTTTAGTGAGCTGACGAGCAGAATGTGGAAGATTAATTTCTCTCTCTAAGAGCCTGATTCTCATCTACACGATGGCGCAGACTCACTGATGCTGCGAGAGCAGTGTCAAGGAACCTAAATGTAAATGACAAGCAGGCCCGAAGTGTTTGAAAAATCTTACATGCCAGGCACTGACCATTGTTAAAGGCAGGGCTGGGTGAAATGTATGTTAAGCTCATCTGAACCTGGACATAATAAGGGGTTCCCATTTCCTGAATGCAACACACACCCCTTCGCAGGAAAGAGTTAAATTTGGGCCCAAGACTCTTTGTCCAGGCCTAGATAAAGGCAAGCAGGCCTCTAAACTTCAATAATTACTTAAAGGAATATAATTTTCAACTTGAGCCTTCCCACCTCTAAATACATGGGCTGTTGCTGCTCTCTGATATAAGGGAGTTTAAATCACCACTAGGCTGAAAATCAACAGCCATCTTTCATCCGCTGCAATTGCAGACTAACAGGAACGTAAATTCCACGTATTGGATCCCAGCTATGCAGGCTCAGAGCTGCAGAGTAAAGCTTGATTTTCACAGCGCCAACCTCAGCAAACACTTTGTCTGATTAAAGAGGTGAGAGAATAGGGCCTGTGAATCATGGACTCAGCTGACGGAGGCTCATACAAGTGTTTTTCTGACAACAGCTTCATTTCCAGCAGACAAGCAAGGGGATGGGCTTCTCCGTTTACTAAAGGATGGACTCGATGCCTCAGTGCCTTAACAGCTAAGGATTTACCTCCTGGACCGGACCATATCTGGGAACTGGAACAAGTCTGGTGAAAAGCATCACCTAAGATTGGCCGATCATAGCTCAGCCTCTCAGTGTATGTTTGTCAGCACCCGCTGAGCAAACATCAGGTTCTGAACATTCACAGCACAGGGGAGTGAATCAGGCAGCAGCCATGGGGGTAGATAATTTGGGGAACAAAATCCCCAATAACCCACCAGCAGATGGACCACTTCACACAGATAGAACATATGTTTGTAACATGATATTGTGGGAGAAAAGGGGAAACACCGAGTCCAGGGACCCAGTGCACACGGTACTTGTGTCTTTGAACAATCGTCACCTTTGGTACTTTTAATAGCGCACAGGAGAAAAGCTATTGCCAGGCCACAATGAGCTAGGAGCCAACGGGACTTACCCCCAGGCGTATGGAGGGAGAACAAGCTGCCTCCGTGGAAGTTGCTGGTCCCATCATGCGAGGAGACAATGCGAGAGCGGGAAGGTGGCAAGGAGTTTGATTTCTTCAGCCTCTGCTCACACAGGTGACCTGCAACAGAAGCACAGAGCTGGTGAAGCCGGGCAGGCGGGCTCCAGCCACGCCCAGAAAAAATGCCCTTTGCTAAGGGGATCTGCCTTGCTAGCGAGGAGTCGGAATGACTCCGGCCCAGCAATGATCCCCATCCACCACAGGAGAGAGGCGTGTCTTAAGTTGGACCCTGAGGGTAGGATTTTCTGAAGTGCTCCGTTAGCCTAACTTGGCTTCCGTTAAAGCCAATGGGAGAGTTAACAGTGACTGCAATATTAACAGCAATACCTAGCACTTGTATAGAACTCACCCTCAGCAGATCTGAAAGCACTTCACAGAGGAGGGCACGATCATTATCCCCATTCTACAGATGGGGAAACTGAGGCACAGAAAGGTTACAGTGACTTGCTGATGGTCACCCAGCATGCCAGTGGCAGAGTTGGGAATAGAACCCCGGTCTCCCCATCCTGTGCCCTGGCCACTAAGCCACTGAGCACCCACAAAAATACCTTTGTTTTTAATAACAGTTCAGTGCTCAAGGGGTGCCAGATGGACATCCCTGGATCCCAATGCCTTCTGTTCATCTCCAGCAGAGACAGCAGCATTGCAAGGTTCACCCACACACGGGGTTAACATGCTTCAGCCCGGCCCTGGTGGGACCACCTCTTGGAGCCAGCAGAGTTTTGTCTGCACGGTCCACACTCAGTATTGCTAGCAAGGGGCCAGTTAGTATCAGTAGGGACAATGGAGCCTGACTGAGACCACTGTCTCATTTCACACTCCACCCATAGGTGACATTTATTCTAATACTGCACACTGTTCCTCCCAGGGGTACCTGCTGCCAGCTGCTTCATGTCACTGCAGGACACAGATACCAGATCACAACATGCCGTAAAAAAATTCCCTGCTGCTATAAATGGGCAAAATTCCAGTGAAATCAAGAATTTGGCCAAAATGTATCTAACTTCTATCACAACCATAGCCCAAAACTAACCAGTTCTCTGGCAAGAGAATAAGAGCAACCATTTTTAAAAAAAATTGTTTTAGCTAATTCCATTTCTCAAAGTACTGTGATTAAAGTTCACTTTCCCTTCTCGGGCTATGTATTTTTCTTTCCCTTTTCTCAACTCTCGACAAACTTCAGGCTGGTTCCTTTCACAGAACCAGAACAAATAAGCATACGAAACAAATCGACATACCCCAGAGCAATGTTCATAAAATATCCATCTGCACCAATGCGTGTGACTGAGCAGAGAGAGAGCTGTGTTTACAGCACGGTGCAGGACAGTTATGGGGTAAGAATGTTACACATATTGATCCAGCGCCCCCACCTGAACAGTTAGCCCGTATAATTTAAATACAGACGCATCAGGCTTCCCTTTGTCAGAGCGAAGAGTGATCCTATTACCCTATTTGTACTCATTTTTCATTGATTTCAGTGTTTCATTGAGCAGAACACAGCGTGTGCTTTGTGACCTTGAAACATAACAGTGGATTTCTGCAGTCACTTAAGCGGACTCCAGTTCAATTATTACTATCAATCATGTTGATTACAGTAGTGCCTCATGACCAACAAAGAGTAGGGCCGATTGTGTTAGGTGCTGTACAAAAACAGAGCAGCCAACAGTCCTGCCTCGAACCGCCGACAATCAAAATAAAGCAGACAGATGCAGGGTCGGGGAGGGGGAGACCAGAACAGCAGAGTGAACTATGGGATGGCTGCAGACAGCCTGGGGCTGCCCCAGCTGAGTTAGGTAACTAGGAGGTGATCAGCTGAATGGTAAGGACAGAGAAGGGGGCTGTGACGTTAAAAGGAAGAGGGGTGAAGGGGCAGGCCTGGGGAGAAGAGAGTGGGAGAGGCAGGTGTCGGGGAGGGGAATGGGGAAGGTTGGAGCAAACAGCCAATCAACACAGGGAACAGCGGGTCCGACAGAGCTGTAGGAAGTTCCCTGAATGGCTCTGGCTGCTTCTGCAGCTGCTCTGACCAGCTGGAGCCTCGCCCTGCACCTCGGGTGCTTCGTTTCGCGTTGAACTGGAAAAGCATCACGGACTATCCAAAGCATCTTCCTTCTGACCCAGGGAAGGGTGTCCAAGGAGGTACCGTTAGGCTTTTTATAGATGCATGTCCTTGATTCTCGGTCCACAGGAGTCCTCACAGAACCTCACTACAGCCACTGCAAAACCTGCACGCTCTACTGGTGTAATGAAGTTCAGATTTAAGGAGTTGAGGCATCATGTATCTACAGAAAGAGATTTGCTTCCCCAAACACACACACTGCTGCATTTTAAAGTCAGTTTGCCCAGGACTGAAGTAGACAGACATATTTCTTCTGATTTTGTAACAGCCTCTCATGAACTTTGCCAAAGTTTTTCAGGTTTCAAAAGCACCACTGAAAAATGAGCGTCTCCTCCTGCTAAATCTTTTATCACTTCAGCTTACTTCTCAGATGAAGTAAATGCAATTTGGAATTTGTGAATGTTGTTATGAGGAATGGAAATTACCAAAGGAACTGATTGGCTGACAAGACTTGCACTGGATAGGCCCAAAACAATACTAAACATTTTGGTAAGACAAGGTCAAGTTTGGGAGACTTAACACATTGTCTTGCTTTCTGAGTGAAATTTGCACTCCCCAGTGGTTGCCACTGTAGAAAATACATACTGTGCCATGCCAACATGGCCACAAGAAAACGTGCCCATTATAGAAAAGTTCTGTAGGTTTTAATAGCAAATGATAACTTTTCTACAGGTCTTTTGGACCTTGCTATGAATTTAATAGAACATTATATCCCTGCTATAGAATTCTGCGGGATGGTTTAAAAAAAAAAAAGTCAGCGGTAACCATAGATTCACGTCTCTGTTACATTTTCTAGATTTTGGGGTGACTGCTGTAGAACCCTATTCGTTTCATCCCTGTTACATTTTATAGGACTTTTCCCATAAGGGACAGGATAACTGTTCCCATTCACTAACGATTTAGACACTGCTGGATTTTTACTATGGGTCTTTGCAGTATGTAAGTGACATTTTCTTTATTGCTACCACTGAAAATACATATCTTAAAAGAGCCAATAGCTGTCCAGAGTCCCTGGAGCCAGGGTGAGGGGCTTTCATTACCGGCAAGAGGCCCAAATACGCCCTGGCATTTGCTTGTATCACTGGCAAAGTTTGTTATTCCAATGTCTCTTCCTCCCACATACTAGCTCATATATCAAGTGAAGAAAAACTAGCCCTAACACTGATCCATTTACTGTCTTGTCACCTCTCTGTGCTGCTGTAATTACATCCATATATAGGCTATCCCAAACTGTACAGGATGAAGCTATAAAGTTGTCTGCGGATTCACCTAACCTACAAATGCACTCTGTCCTTCAGATAAAAGCTCCATAAATGTGGAGAATTGGAGACATTTGGCTGCAGCACGTGAAATTGTCTGTCAGTATTTAGGGCTGGATTCCCGTGGGCCCTGTACAAGTGTCTAGGGGAGGGCCCGAAGTGCGTTCTCCTCCCCACGCCCCTGAGCCTGGGCACACCCTCTCTGGGGAGCAGAGGAATTGTACCCAGCTGGGGCAGCTCCAAAGAGATGGGATGAAGACAGGACCATGCCAGCGCCCCCAACTTGCAGAGAAGAGTGCACCCTGCATGCTGGCAAGAGATGGCAGAGCTGCTGATTCAAGGCACGCCTCCCCACAGCAAGCTGGGAAGGATTCTAGCACAACAAAGAGCCAAGTGTTAAAACTGCACAACCCTTAAAATGTGAGCTGTGATGTCATCTGTGATGAGACCATCCACTTTACAGTTTGTAGGGCTGTCTTTGGTAAACACAGGCAGTAACGTATTGTTGCAGTGTGTGATGAACTGTCGGAAGACAGGATACCGACGAGATGGACCATTGGTCTGACCCAGTATGGCTGTTCTTATGTCTTAGGTACTAAGGTGACTGGCACTATGCAAAATACAACAGCTAGATACAGCTTTTGAATGTCAGGACACTCTATCAGTTATACATGTATACTCTTTTCATGTGTACAACTCCTGCAAATGCGTCATTAGCAGAAATAGCTCAAGCTGTTTAGGCATCTGAGAATATTAACACGGACAGTGAGAACATGAACATTATCCACCAGGGCATGTGCCCCGAAGCTCTCACAATGTTAAGGATAGTGTCAGTGCAACTCTGATCTAGAGTCTGCCTCTGCCAGCTCTGCGGCGAACACTGCTCCCGGGCTTACAGTAGTTCACACATTCTCCCACTGGAAACCTGCAACCCTACAGAGCTCATCTCTGAGAGATATGAACTTCGTTATTTAAAATTACCTTGTTGATCATTTCTAAAGCACCAAAAATCAGAAAAATATCATGCTATAAAGATGCCATTTAACTCCATTTACAGCTAATCCTGCCTAGCGCTTCAGTGTGAATGGCAATAGAAGGATTAGCCACTCTGAGTAGCAGAAGCTTCTTTTTCTGCAGCTCAGTTTAAAGGGTTACGGTCAATTTAAAAAAAAAAACACTTTGATGGAGAATGTTCTGAGTAACAGCCAAGATTACTAGAATGGAAGGAGATTTCAGACATCTTTTCCAGTTTGGTTACTGTGCATGACAGCACTTTGTGTTTAGGCATTATTGCCGCTGCTCCTGGATGGTCAGTTTCCCTTTATTGTTTGCGTGGGTCTTTCACACAGCAACCAGGGGGAAGAGCATTTAAAAAAACCAGGAAAATGAGGTTGCACAACCATGCAAATGGGCAATGGGACCCAGGGGGAGGGGCAGTATCTGAAATTGCTTTGAACTTGCTTTCTGAAACTGCCTAGATTTCAAACTGATGATGTAGAACGGAGCAGAAATGGGTGTAGCAGGCAAAGACTGGAATACAAATGCCCTTATTTGGCTATGTTTAGCCCCATTTCTGTCTCTCTCTCAACACCATCCAGTCTACAGAACAGGCCTGCTGTTCACTGCTTCAAGCCCCAATGTTAGGAGGGATTTAAAAAAACATACTAATAGTATTTTGAAATCAAACAAACTTTTCCAGAGAAATCAGAGTGGCAGCTGTATTGATACAGTATGGTGGGTGGGTTTTTGTGGTTGTTGTTCTTGTTGTTTTGCTAGTATTTGTCCTTTGTTAATCAGTTTCCTTTGCTGGGTTTGCATTGAACTGTTCTCTGGGTTATGAATCTCAGATTCTCCTTCCTAGGAGCTTATCACACTCTTGCAGGCAAAGTATGAAAATGACAATTTAAGATATCATATAATGGAGCTAATCTTTCTTCTGAAGATAAGATTTTAAAACCTGGAGTCACGGCACATTTATAAGATGGTGAATTAAATATATATAAAAAGTACCTAATAAATTCTAGGAAGCATAATGTTCTTACAAGTTTGGTTTTCTTATACGTACAGCTTTGTGCATCTTGTCTGTTTCTCCCATGTTTCTGAGTTATTTGCTAGCACCTAATTGAGTGTCGCTGTTTCCATATTGTCTGTTTCAAAGCTGCCTCAGCTTGTACATTTGTAAACAAGCAGGCAGAAAACTCAAAACAGAAGTAATGAGCTGTGCATTTCCTCCTCTTTCTGTAGCCTGGTGTTATTACTCATTGTAGGCGGAGGGTGGGCACAGGATAACAGGAGACTGGCATTTAGAACCTGTTGATTTTTTTCAAGCAACTAAAAATTCTCTAAACAGCCCAAGCCCAGAGCTCTGCTGGGTCCCAAAAAAGCATTTTCTTTCCTCAGATGCACAGGAACCTGTAGGGCCAGATCCATCGCTCCAATGGTATCATGGGGGTGCTTTGCATTTTGCCAGAATAAAACAATTTTGGGAATACTGTGAAAAGTTACAGCCATTTTTAGTGCAGAACCCACTGGTGGCAGTGGGCACAGGCAGTTCTGACCCAGCGTAGCCTTGCTGTGACTCTCACAGGCTTCCGAAGAAAGACGAGAGCAGTCTGCCCTCGGTACGGAAGCAGGTGCAGAGGGATGGCTGCTTGAGGCGTTATAAAAGAAGTGTTTAACGGACGCTACAGAGGCACTTGCAGAAGCATTGAAATTAGACAAACTTCTAGCACCACCATCAAATTATCCCCAGCTCCCATTTCATGGCTGGTGAACAAACACAACACAACTCAAAAATGCTGATAGTTGGCTAATGGAAACTCTGGAATAGCCAGACACCAAATATGTCCCTCGGGTTGCAATGTCAGGATCCTCCCTTGTGTGTGAGGCTCCTAAGCTTTGCCAGCTTCCAAACAAGCTCATGAACACCACAAGAGCTGAGATTCAGCCCTGAAGGCCAGTGGGGCAACACTTCTCATGGCTACTAGCATTGAGATCACATTTCCATAGACCTTTCACTAACACACTGCTGGATGTCTAGAGCTGTGCTGAGCAATCGTATTGCTGGAAAAGGAGCATGGAGCAGAAAGCTGGCCACTGCACTGGGCTCTGCTCCTGGCTGACCCACCTTGCGCAAATCTGATTTTTAGAAGTGCTTGTCACCTGTAAGTCCTATTGACCCTCACTCAACACCTCTGAAAACTCAGCACCTTGGTAGCCCCAGCTGTACAGCGGGGACAGCATGGTTTTTGTACCTTAGCACCTGCATAGCTCTTTTCAACTGTATCAAATCAGTATTATTGCATCCTGGGGCAGGTAAAAGCATCTCTGTTTTGGGAGGTGATCGCTATGTGAAAATGGAGGGGGGAAGGTAACAGATCAGCCACCAAAGAGATTCCCAGCTGTGCCCCAGAATGGTGCTAGAACTGCAATGATGAACATAACCAGCAGAGTTAAGTGTCTAATGAGCATGCTGAAGAATACATGAGAAACCTTGAGTTACTCACTTTCTGAAAGAAACAAATTTTCATCAGAAAACATGGTGAATCAGCCAAAATAACTGGGATTCTTACCAACATTGGCCAAACTCAGGTGAAGTCGGCCTTTCACAACAGCGTAGACTCCTATGGGCTTCACAGTGCCATGTCTGAGAACGTCCCCACTCATCACTGTTGTGTCCTGCTCGTATTCAGTTGTCATCACCTCCAGCTCATGATGGACCTGAACTGCTGTCCGACCCTGGCGAAGCAAGTGCTGTGGGGCAAGAGGAACATATCCTGAAGCCAAAAAACGTGTGTAGCTGTTACTGTCAGGAGGCACTGTCCAGAGTGGTACATGCCCAAGAGAGACCATTGGTTTTATCTCGCAAATAGTTTGTTACATCTATGCAATTCTTTGGGGGAGTTGAGAAAGGGGGTTCCAAACAAATGCTTTATCCAAAGCCGGCAGCCCCAGTGCTCAAGAGCAGTGTCTCAGTGAGCCGGTGTGTGCACGTGACACAGGAGAGATGGGGAAGGGGATAGGTTTCATTTCTGATCTCCCATCAAACAGTGAGATAAAAGGATATCTGGTAAATTATGAAAATTCTCATGACTGCTTCCCCTTCCTCAAATCAGATCTCACCTTTTCCTGGCTTATGCAAGAGCCCCCGACAGTCCTTCCTGGGTTCCTGCATCTGTCCCCCTTTGCTCTTGCAGATCATGCTGAGCTCCCGGGTTGCAAACATTTACCACATTTAAAAACGTTTTGCTTTTACTACTTTTGTTTTGGTTTTAGGTTCCAAGAAACTCTTGTTTCACTTTTCCCCTCACTTGACTAGCACATCCTTGCTGTGAAGTGTAATACAGTGGGTACTACACCACACCAGTTAAAAGCACCTTTTTAGCTTGTGTACATTTGTGACATCTTTGGGGTTTTGTGAGGCTCAAAAGAGCTTTTCTGGGAGGTTACTGTTTTGAGATGAGACAAATGAGCTGGGAGAAAGAACTTAAGAGAAAAATGTGAATGGTAATTGGGAACTGTTTGAGAATAGAGGCCCAAAAATCATGGCCCAGCCAGGACTGAAGTCACGCCGGTGTGGCCAGCTGCAGGGGTTAACGGTTAAAGTCTGGTTAACGGTAAGCCTAATGCTTACCAGTTAAACTTTTACATCCCTAGTGCCAGTATTTAAAAAGGTAAACAAAATGACCCAGGTAATTATAGGTCTGTCACCTTGACATCAATCCTAGGCGAAATAATGGCTGATACAGGACTCAATGAGATATTAAAGGAGGGTAATATAAATAATGCCAATCAAAATGGTTTTATGGAAAACACATCTTGTCAACTAACGGGATATCTTTTTTCTATGAGATTACCAGTTTGACTGTTAAAGATAACAGTGTTGATGTTAGCCTTGGTACTACACAACATTTTGATTAAGAAACTAAAATGATACAAAACGGGGCGGGAGGGATAGCTCAGTGGTTTGAGCACTGGCCTGCTAAACCCAGGGTTGTGAGTTCAATCCTTGAGGGGGCCACTTAGGGATCTGGGGCAAAATCAGTACTTGGTCCTGCTAGTGAAGGCAGCAGGCTGGACTCGATGACCTTTCAAGGTCCCTTCCAGTTCTAGGAGATAGGATATCTCCATTAATTTAATTTATTTAAATTTAAAATCAGCATGACACATATTAAAAACTGGCTAGCTGATAGATCTCAAAATGTAATTGTAACTGGGGAATCATCATCAAGAATGTGTTTCTAGTCGGGTCCCTCAAGGATCCGTTTTTGGCCCTTGGTATTTAACATTTATATCAATGGCTTGAAATAAAACAAAATCATCACTAATAAAGTTTGCAGGTGATACAAAGATTGGGACAGTGGTAAACAATAAAGGGGACCGATCAATGATCTGGATTGCTTAGTAAGCTGGGCACAAGTAAACAATATGCATTTCAGTGTGGCCAAATGCAAAGTCAGATATCTTGGAACAAAGAACATAGGCCATATTTATAGAATGGGGGGACTCTATCTGGGAAGCAGTGATACTGAAAAGTACTTGGGGTCACAATGGATCATCAGCTGAACATGAGCTAACAATAGGACATTGTGGCTAATGCAGTGTTTGGATGTATAAACAGGATAATATCGAGTCGGAGTAGCAAAGTTATATTATCTCTATATTTGGCATTGGTGTGACCAATACTGGAATATTGTGTCCAGTTCTGATGTGCGCAATTCAAGAAAGATGTTGAAAAGTTGGAGAGGGTTCACAAAACAGTCATGAGAATGACAAAGAATTAGAAAACATGCTTTATAGTGGAAGACTCAAAGAGCTCAATCTATTTAGCTTGTCAAAAAGAAGGGTAAGGAGAGAGTTGATCACAGTGTATGTCTAGATGAGGTACAAAAATGTGATAATAGAGAGCTCTTCAATCTAGCAGAAAAGGTGCAACACTTTCCAATGCCTAGAAGTTGAAGCTAGATGAATTCAGACTCTAAATAAGATGCATTCTTTTCACAGTGAGGGTAATTAATCATTGGAACAACTTACCCTGGGTTGCGGTAGATTCTCCAGCAATGGAAATCTTTAAATCGAGATTGGCTGTGTTAATATAAGATGTGCTCTAGTTCAGATAGGATTTATCTCAGGGCAGGTCTCTGGCCGGTGCTATCCAGGAGGTCAGACTAGATGGTCACAATGGTCCCTTCTGGCCTGAGAATCTCTGACTCAGGCAAGAATCAGAGAAACTTCCATAGGAGACGTAAATTGCTGTACAATTAAACCTGATAATGAAACCCCCCATTCCCACCACACACACAAGGGAGTCATATTTTCTGGACATAGCACAACTGTTGCCTACTTAACACAGTGTAATAGTACAAAGAAGCTCTAGAAATGGAGACGATTGTTCTGGCCATTTGGACAGAAGGCCATTAGCACTGGTCACTGCATTCAGGAGCGAGGGGAGGGAAGTGGATGCTTTAGGCGATTCAGAGCAGGATACGAACCTTTCACTGCTAGGTCACTGCGCTGAATCCAGACAGCTTAGCACTGAATAGAAATTCCCACTCCCCCGGGGCTGTTTGGTGGCCTGTTTGCAGGGAATTAGGGGGTCTCAGACCATTTCCCGGGGAACAAGTGTCTACACCACAAACCATCTCCTGCCATTTGGCACTGGTTTCCCCCTTCGTTGGCAACCTCAGTAGAAAAGCAGAGGAGTCAAGGGGCATAGAGACTGGCCCAACCTTGCAGTGCAGGTGGTGGTTCTCCAGAACAAGAATGCGGCACCCTGGCGGGGCCAAAGTCACATGTGCTGCTGCTGCCCAGAGTGAGCCTGTCCAGTGACTCAGCGGGGAATGTTCATGCTCTAGTTCTGCCCCCGCAGGCCCTCCAGCAGCACAAGGAACCTCACAGCACTACCCCTTTTTTCTAAACATTTTACACACTATGACAAATTGTTCAAATTTTAACACCAAAGAAATCCATGCACATTTGTAAGAAACTTCCTGAACTTACCCTATCCAGTAGCCATCCCTGCCAGCTACAGCATCGTTACTATTTTAATATTTATTTGTAGAGCAACAGAGCCTAGGGCTCTTCCGCATTGTGCTTGGTGCTGTACAAACACAACCAAAGAAGGTTCCTTTGCCAGAGTTCTTGTACTTTGTAAGTAGAGATTCTGGCCTTTTTCTCCATTATCAGCAGCTATGGATTTAGTCTGGGAAAAGTTTCATACCTTCAGCTTAACTGCAGCAGATCCAATGAGGAGCAAAGAATCTCCATCCCAAATATCAATCTGTAGGTTATGGTCAGCTATATAACGTATAAACCAGCGTTGTTCTCCTGGCTTCAGAAAACCAGGATCCACCATATACTTTAGCTGCAACCCTGGAGATTCTGCAGGAAAAAGAATGTATTCCTGACAACGTAAATTAATCCTCCATGGCTTCTCAGGAGACTCATTGATATCGAAGGGACTCCTGTGACTCCCAGTACCACTGTCTCTGAGAACCTCACAATCTTTACTGTATTTATCCCCACTACACCCTTGTGAGGCAGGGCAGGAGTCCTGCCACAGGACAGGGCCATTATCCCCATTTTATCAATGGGGAACTGAGGCACAGAGTGACTGTGCCCAAGGTCACACAGGAAGTCCATGGCAGAGCAGGAATTGAACCTACGTCTGCCAAGTCACATGAGCACCCTAGCCACTGGACCAGCTTTCCTCTTTATAGCTGTAATTTCATTCTCATCAATCTATGGATCAAACCATTTATGAACTCCCTGAATCAGTCACTTTCAAGTTCATGTTGGGATTGACATCCACCCACAAAAAATTAAGTTAATGTGGATTTTCCTTATTAATTTTCATTAACTATTCCACATGGGGAAGGAACTTTACAAACTAAAAATGCTCTGTAGGAGGTGGGAGATTAGTTTTGCATCTCTTGGGACAAGAATTTAATAAGACATTAAAAAAACCATTTTGCTAAGAGAATCTGATTGCATTACTACAGGTTGGTTGCTTAGATGTTTTCTCTCTCTCTCTACATCTGCGTAGCTATCGCTGGAGTCAGCAGTCTACATTTCTGAATCGTGTCACTGACACTTATTGATGTTTTGCCTTATGGCTTGACATTTTGCACACTTTTAATTATATGGTGTATAAACTAATGGAAACTTGATATTATAGCAGATATTAGTCCATTACCTTGACTTGGAGCTAAGCCTAAAGCTGATTGACAAAAATCTCATTTGAACTATTCAAAAATGTAACTGAACTCTCCCAGTGGATTTTCCTCTTACCATAACATACTAGCCGAGCAAGAAAGAAACAATTTTGCTGATAAACTGCAAGAAAGGCTTAAAGCATTGACACGTTTCAGTATTCATTTTTAAACCCTAGAGAAAGGCCCAGGTGATTGGAAGAATTTAGCACCCAAAGAATAGAGCTAGAAGGCTTGTGGTCCATCTGATCAAGCCTCCCATCTCCAACAGGCAGACACTTCAGAGGAAGGTACAAGAAACCCCATAGTAAGGAACTAAAAAATGATCAGGCCATAGGGAGGTTTTCTTCTTAGCCCCAATCAGTTAGCATGGAGATTTACACCCCTTATAAATCTGTATCCTCTCTGCTGTAACTCTGGTTTTCCATATACTTGTCTAGTCCAGTTTTGAATCCTGTTAAACTCTTGGATTAAATGATTTATTGTGGCAATGAGTTCCACAAGTTAGTTACGCATGGTATATTAAAAGGTTTCCTTGTATCTGTTTTAAATTTGCTGTCTTTTAATTTCATTGAGTAGCGCCTTGACCCAGGATGATGACAAAGGGTAAATTAGAATGTCTTATGTACCACCTCTACCCTGTTCATTATTTCATATAGCTCTGCTATGTCTCCCTTCAAACTGCATAGACTCTGGAGTATTTGGACATCTCATATAACTCCCAAACAATTGGCTACAGCCTCCAGGACTTCCTCAGAGGACATACCATCTGGCAAGTGCTGTAACATCCCTCCTTTTTCAAACACCCTTCCACCACTAGAGCTTACCACTCCTAAGGGTTCCATCTTTGTTGATCTGGAATAAGATTTGGGAAGAAGCAGCTGAACTGGCTGTCCCAGACTGGTCCATCTTCACCAGCTGCAATCGTGGTGTTGTGACCGGTGGGAAACGGTAAAACTGGAAGGTGAAATACATAGTCTTTGGCCACGTTGTCCCCATGCCATCCTGTGGAATCCTTGACCAAAAAACATCTCTGGATTAACTCCTCTTGTTACAGACCCAGCAATTTGTATGTGCTTTGCAAGTGCTTGTGAACCATTTGAGAAGCAGAAGAACTGGGGAAGATCCATGATATTAAGTGTATTCAAATTGGTTTGGGAGGCTTCCTTTGAAGCCATCATGACAGGAAGGACAAGGGTTTTTTTTGCTTTCAGTGAACTCGTAGTACATGTGACTTCTGCTCTTTGGTACAGAGTTCCCAGCTTCAAGACCAGGTGGGAATGGTATTTTACTTTCAGAATTACAGTGCACTGTAGTCAGTGGTAAATACACAAATGGTGCATAATCAAGATAAAACAACCATCACGGAAAAGCCTTTCCAAGTGAAGCTTTCCTGTCTGTAAATAAGGAGTTACTCAGTAATTAGTTTTACATTACAATCTGGCTAATGTGAACAAAAAAATTAATTTGGAACTGACTCAATGCATAAAACATCTAAAATGGAACGTTCATTGTCTCACAGGCACTTCTGGTGCTTTTGTTACCATGGCAGTTGCTCAGACATGCCTCAGCCAAGCAAGGTGAAAGCCCTAAGGAAGGGGCATGGGAGGTGGATACAAGGACCTGTCAGAATCATCAAGCCAAAGAGCAGCACGCAGATCAGTATGGAAATGGATGCTATTGCAAGAAGAGACGTGAATCCAACCTGAAAATGGGGCAGTAGGATTTCAGGGCATTACCTGGTGAAGGCAAGGAACTGCAAAATGATTTCATTGCTTTGCAAGAAGTCAGCTTCTTCCCTTTGAGGGTTGAAGTTCACAGGGTCTGCAGGGTCCACAACTTCTGCTGGCTCCTTGTTACAATCCAGGATTTCTGGAAAGCCAGCGGCATGCAAGCGAGACAGAGAGGCCCGAGTGAGGACAGAGCTAGAGCTGAAAGAGAAATGGCTTTGAGTTTCCTGGGACCCAGACGCCATTGGAATCCTGACCCTTTCTGCCAGGTCCCTCCTGCCACCCCAGCATCTTCCAGATGGGGTTCTGTGTGAGGTAGAAGCATTTAGGGACATTTTCAGTAAGAGGCAGGATGACATGTGCGGGACCGTTGAACATCACTGAACTCCACCCCCATGTGCTTGCATCGCTCAGGCAGCAATTCCCCTGTTCCCATTCCAGCTACCATTAGCCCTGCCTCAGAGCCTCACCTTCCAGTCTGTGTTCCCATGGCAACAATAGGCGCGTGCACGGGCGTGAACGGCAGCTCCTGCAGCTGGTCGCTTGCAGAGGAATCCAGGATCAAGGAGCTGGGGTTGAGGTCAGCCTCCAAGTGCGTTATGCCACCGCTGCTGCCTCCATGTGGGAGCTCCTGCTGACAAACAAGGGCGCCCCATGAAACGGACCATCCCCAGCTGGGTGGTGATAGAGCGGTGAGGGGCAGGGCTCTGCAGGGCGCATTGAGGGAGCTGCCCTGCCCAGGCTGCTCCACTCAGACAACTGCTGCTTGTCTTCCTCGCAGGGCAGCGTGGGGGTAACAGATGTAGTGCAGGCAGCCCGTTCCCCCTCTGTTCTCAGCAGAAGTGTTGTCATCACAGTCCTACTCAGCTGAGCAGAAGATGAGCATCACCTTTCCTATCTCATATATGTTCTACTGCACAGCTCACCGGGCAGGGCACAAGCAATCTGGGATGGGCAGAACCCAGGAGTCATTCCCACCACTGTACCCGAGGCAGCCTCTCCATAAAGGAAAGTGCCCCTGAGCAGGCAGACTTCATGCGTTCTCGCATACCTGGCTTGTCTACATTTTGAATTCAGATTTCCCACACACACACACCCCACATTTATTTTGGGCTGCAATGACCATAGGAATGATTGAACCTGGCCCAGCATGTACTGTATAGCTCTGTGGGAAGGGACACACGCCAAACACACGCGGGTAGGAACATCCCTCTCTGCAAGGGCTAGCCAATGCAGAGGCCACCACATAAACCCAACCAGGAACCTTACTGCACGTTCACGCCGGTGCATCCCAGGGGAGCGGGGGACTGGAGAGCCGGTTTGCCGTTTGGACGAGTGGCTTACAGGAGAACGGGGTGATGCAGACAACTGGGATATCGACAACTGAAAAGAAAATTATTATAATTAAGATGATGATATTAACTCTACTAATGAGGCTGCTGAAGGAGGAACTGCCAAGGTGCAATCTGGACTGTGGAAAATCTTGCTGGATTAGGAGGGCCAGGAACTCCAACATATGTTGGCAGTTTATTTTAAATGGTCTGTGCAAATTTAAATGGTCAGGAATGACCGAATTGAGCTACCCCTCTGCTGTTCAGATACGCAGCACAGCTCGGACACTTAGGGGTTCCAGACAGGCCTGAACTACGTTTTCTAATTCAGCTGTTGATGCTGCAGTGTGCTGTACGTTGTTTTGCAGAAAAACCCACAAACGTTTGACAAGATCAAACAGTCTAATAATGCATGCTCATGAAGTATTAAATTTCATCAAAAATATTACTGTGTAAAGATCTCTGTAACAAGAAGGAAAAACAACAAATAGGCTTTCAATGTTTGTATTTGGCCTTAAATCCTGAGAACTATCCCTGCAAAAATTATACGTCATTGTCAATACACTTCCACTGTGCTATAGAACAAAAGCCTGCAAATCTGATCTGCTGCAAATGACTCCCTTAAAAAATAAAAAGTCCAGGGCCTGAGAACAGCTCAGAGATTTCTGCCCAGCAAATGATATGTAGATTCTGGTTTGCTGCTTCTGGGGATATGGATTATAGCAGGAAATTGTTGTAGTTTGGCCACAAAGACCTTAGAAAGTGATACCCAGTGGGATATCGGCATAACTCAGTGAGCTGGATCGCACTATATGAAAATAGCTATTTTCAAGGAAATGCTGCTGTGTGTGCTAAACTTCTCCGTCTAGTTTATACACTAATCATGTCTGTGTGTGGACAATTCACATTTTACTACCGAATTAGGCAGGTTCTCTACAACAGTATTTTTCAGGGCCTTATTGATGGGAAAAAATTTGACCTGGAACAAACAAACGAACAAACCCATAGAAGAATTATTTTTATTTGTCTTATAACTTAATGGTAATTGAGAATAAGGTAAATATATGATCAAAGAGAGATGAGCAGCAGAACCGGCTATTTCAAAGCCTGCCTTTTATGCAGTATTATGTACAAATATGATTTATGAAATACTGACTTTTCATCTAGTGATCTTCAAGGGCAGATTACAGTAGCCTAAACCTTGGTCATCTCTCACTGAAGACAACAATAAATTTCTCCTCTCTGCCTTCTCCTGGGCTACACAAATGACCACTGTTGATGTCCCCTGCTCCTGGCACTCTAACCAAGTCACCACTCCTGAGCCCCCTTCTTTGCTTCCTGTCTCTTCTCTCTCAGATTCAAACTCCTTTATTTATCAGTAGTGACTGGGCCACGCTTCTCTGTGGTGTCACTCCATTAACTAACTAGAGTTACACCAGAGGGAAATTGCACCTTTAGAATCTTCACATTTAACCTGTTATTGATTTGAAAACATAAACTTAAAAAAAAAAAATCAGCTGCAACGTTTCCCCTCCTGGCCCCTAAGAAAGAAAGATTAATCAAACTAAAATAATTGATGCTTAAATCTAATGTCCCAGTAAGGCAACTGCAGAGGGCACATGTTGCACCATCAGGCACTTACCCCAGGTCCTTGAGGATAGTCTTGAGTGGAAACCAACATCTGGGGTGAAGATGGTGCACCTACCGGGACGCAGAGACAAGAGAAGGTGCAGTGAGCCTCCAGAACAGCCAGAGATCTAGCTGTCGGATTGATCAAATGCCAAATTTTGTTTCCATTAAAGCCAATTAAAGTTTTCCTATATTCCAAGGCCGGAAGGGACCATTGTGATCATCTAGTCTGAGCTCCTGTATCAGACAGGTCAGAGAACGTCTCTCACAGAATTCCTAGAGCAGATCTTTTAGAAAAACATCCAATCTTGATTTACAAATATTCAGTGATGCAAAATCCACCATGACCCTTGGTAAATTGTTTCAGTGGTTAATTACATTCACTTTTTAAAACGTGCAACTTATTTCCAGTCTGAATTTGTCTAGCTCCAACTTCCAGCCATTGGATTGTGTTATATCTTTCTCTGCTAGATTGAAGAGACCATTATTAAATATTTGTTCCCCGTGTAGGTACTTACAGATCAAGTGATCCCTCAACTTCCCTTTGTTACACTACATAGATTGAGCTCTTTGAGTCTGTCACTACAAGACAGGTTTTCAAATTCTTTAATCATTCTTGTGGCTCTTGTCTGGACCCTCACCAATTTATCAACATCCTTCTTGAACTGTGGGCATCAGAACTGGATGCAGGATTCCAGCAAGGAATGCACCCGTGCCAAACATGGAGGTAAAATAACTTCTCTACTCCTATTCGAGATTTCCCTGTTTCTTTATCCCAGTATCACATTAGCTCTTCTGGACACAGCATCACACTGGGAGCACAAGTTTAGTTGATTATCCACCATGACCTCAAACCTTTTTCAGTCACTGCTTCCTGGGATAGAGTCCTCCACCCTGTAAGTGTGGCCAACATCCTTTGTTCCTAGATGCATATATTTACATCGAACCATTAAAACACACATCGTTTGCTTGCATCTGTTTACCAAGTGATCCAGATCACTCTGAATCAGTGAACTGACCTCTTCATTATTTACCACTCCCCCACTTTTTGTGTCATCTGCAAACTTTATCAGTGATGGTTTTATGATTTCTTCCAGGTCATTCATAAAAATATTAAATAGTGTAGGGCCAAGAATCAGTCTCTGAGGGACCTTGCTGGAAACACACCCATTGGATGATTCCTCCCCATTTTCAATTACATTTTGAGAGTGGCCAGTTAGCCAGTTTTTAATCCATTTAATGTGCTCTTTTAAAACTCTTGGATGCAAGTTATCTGGAACTGCTGATTTTAAAATGTCGAACATTAGCAGCTTCTGTTTTAACATCCTTCAGAGCCTCTAGGAATGGAAAGAGTGCTATCATCACCATGTGATGAGACGATATCATCTGTTTTTCCTCCAAATACAGGACAGAAATATTTATTGAACACTTCTGACTTTTCTGCATTATTATTGATAATTCTACCACTTCCATCTAGTTATGGACCAATACCATTGTCAGGTTTCTTTCTGTCCTAATATACTTTTAAAAATCCTTCTTATTGTCCTTAATGCTGCTGGCCATAGACTTCTCATTGTGTCCCTTGGCTTCCCTTATCAATTGTCTATAGTTCCTAACTTCTGATTTATATTCATTACTATCTACTTCCCATTCTTATATATTATTTTTTGTAGCTGCCTTCACTTTCTCTCTAAACCAGGTCAGTTTTTTAACCAGCATGGCCTTCTTCCTCAGTTGTGGGATTGTGGCTTTTTGTGCATCTAGTAAGTTGTTCTTAAATGATTCCTAATTATCATTCAAATTTTTTTGATTAAATTCTTCCTCCCAGCTGATCTGGTGAAACATGTTAACTATGGGGATGTGAGACACTGTATTTCAGCCATTTGGCTGACTTACTTTTGCAATAGGATTGTCACTTGAAAAAATAAATGTGTAGCAGTTCTCCAGATTCACTGGGAATTTTTTAAGGGAATTAGGCTAAATCTGCCATTTAGTACTTTCCTGTTGTAAAACATAGATTGTCTATCGCTAGACAGTACTGCATTTTCCCTTGAAGACATGTGGTACTGGCTAAGTGGATTGCTTAATGAGACGTGAACGTTTTGGGATACTTAAGGTTTTCATGGCTGTTCTATTATTTCTTGTCACTATTTCATCTGTTTGTACATTCATGCCCTGAAATTGCCTGGGTTTTGTTGTGTTTATCTTTGGCTGGTCTACTTGTTCTCTGGCACTAGATGAACTTGCTCTTCTACTAAGCAAGAAATCCTGTTGCACAGACTCCAAGCACAGATGTTTTCTGGCAATGCTGAGACTTAGTTTTGCTTTCTCCAATTCACACATTCCAGATATTTAATTGGGAACATTTCCCAAGGAAACTAGTGAGCTTCCCTTAGGCCTAAATTTACTGTGTTCTTTCGATTACAATGGATTTGGCCATTAAAGAGGGTCATTATTAGAAATGCACAAGGCTCAGTAGTTGTCAGCACAGGAAAGGAGTAGAAGAGGTTTCTTGCTAATCAGTTCATAGGCCACTAGATCAGTGACTTAGATATATGCAAGAGCTGAGTTATGGAGAATATTTGAACAGATATTAACCTCGCATTGCCCACATGGGAGGAGACAAGTAGGAAGAAAGGCCAAGTCTGCCCAGAAGTACTGTGATTACTGGTAGTGGGTCACTTTCAAATGGTTTAGTAAAGCTAGAGTGACAACATTTCCCTTTGCTGAATACGGGACAACTGGTAAAATTACTTATATTCAAGCGAATTCAATGGCAATTGTACAAACGTTCAAAATAGCATCAAGCTGACTGAGCCTCTGTTAAAAAGTAATACTGCGGAGTTGGATTATTTTTATTTACCTTCTTACCTTTAAGGCTTTAGGGTTACATGGGGAAGGGGGTGACACACACACATTCCCGTACACCTCTGTCACACAGCTGGGGTGACCAACTGACCCGACCCTCCCTGCCCGGCGTTCTCTGCCCATCATGCCTGGCTGGCCCCCCAGGACCCGCCTCTCCTGGTACCTGGCACCACGTCTTCCTGAGACAATACGCGAGGGGGGAAGCACACAGGGTCACATGGCCCCCTTCCCCAGATTTCTGCCAGAACGTGGCCAGCAGCAGCCTTTCAGCCCTGTGCGGGAGGGAAGGGACAGGAGCTGCTTCCAGTTGCAGAGGAGGAGGAGGGGCGGGAAAGGATGACCTGGCCTATGACTTTGCAAAGCTCACTTCCCACCCCCCCACCCCCGGCTGGAAGCAGCTTGTCCCTTCCTACCCGCACACTGTCAAAAAGCAGCTAACATACCCAGGCTGCTGCTGGCTACTGACATAACCCTGCCGCCTCCTGTCCCCTGGCTACAGCATGGGCAGGAAGGGGTTAAGCCCTAAGGCTGCATTGTGCACCAGGGCCCCGGGAACCTGACTGCAGGGGCTTCAGGGAACCGGCCAGAGAGGTGGCTCAGCAGGGGAGGGTGCCTAGGGGATGGAGCAGCCCCGTGCTCCCGGGGGGCAGGACCCAGGGCGGCGGGGGGGGGACGACATCTGAAGGATGGCTTAAATACGGGACTGTCCCTTTAAAAACAGGACGTAAGCATCCAAACATTCCGCTGCTGTTCCAGATCCTGTCTGAAGGATCCCATCCTATTAGGTTCGTCAGACTGCCTTGTAAATCTCAGGAGAACAGGCCTCCCTGGGGGATTTCTACTCTTTCTGCTCTTGGATGCCTTGTATATGCCACAGGAAGAGCCCAACTTGTAGCATTTTGCAACTTCTACCACACACTGGTATCAGGAGGGGCAGAAACACAAACAAAATGGAAAGAATGTCAACCACCCAGTGCAAGTGAGAGAGAACCGCGTGTCAGTTCTCCGTTCCCCCCACCCTGTTTGCCGGCCTCTAGCAATGGCAAAGGCGAGATTTCAGTTTGATTTCAGAATTCTGACTGCTGCTGCTGCCCAGAATAGCAGGATTGGTGTGGGCTATAGGAACTAGGTATCATCCCTTTAAACAGTTTGTGAGCCCTCTAGTGGCTCTCACTGTGTTCTATGGTTTAGAAACCACCAGGACCCAACCAGAGCAGCAGGTGTTTAGCTAGGCCCTGCAATGTTGTGTACATGTAGCACTGGTATTTGGACCCCCTCAACATGCCCATGTAGTTTCTTCATATTACGTCTATTGTGTAAGGAGCCAAAGACATCAGTGTGTGGCACAACAAGCAATTGGACTGATGGGAGGTCTATCCAAGCTTCTTTGGCCATGAAGTCCTGATGCGAGTCTCAGAGGGAGAGAAAACCTCCAATGAGGTAAAAAAGACAAGTATAAAATAGTCTTTGCACCAGTGTGGGATGCAGAACTATCTTTTGCATACAGCCTCTTTCGCAACTACTCGCTTTAATCTGTTTCATGTAAAATCACGGTATTTTTTGAGCGCTTCAAAGCTTATGTGCAACATCTGCTCAGTCCTTCTCCAAGAGTAACCTTTTTTCTCCAAGAGTAGCTAGAAAAAAGGTTATCCACACTGTAACTTGTAAGAGAAGTACATGCTGCATGAGGGATTATCTTTAACACGGATCTGACCTAACCGATTGTACCAAGTCCTACTGTGCACTTATAATTACGATCAACTTCTAAATAGATAAAACAAGCATCAGGTCTGATTACAGTGACTAAGCAGGGTCTGCAGCCATGAGACACCTAGAAGGAACTGCTGGAGAATTAATCCATTGGACGCATCCCAGAACAGAATTAATTCTTATGTCCCTTCTAATAAATGGGATGATATAGCAGCCATCCTATTGGCCAAAATAGGCAACACCATGGCCCTAGCAGTGCACAGCACTAGCTCCTTTCAGGTGAAGCTGTCCCCTTTATCCATTCAAAAAGGAAAGGCAGGTAACTTCAGTGGCAGGAATCAGCGTCTAAGTGCACTTCAGTCCGGAACGTTTGAAGACTGGGTAGCCCTTTAGGTAGCACATCAGATCACACAGTGTCTGTTTTACTTATGCAATAATTCCCACTGCGGGGGGCGCCACTACACGATGCCCAGTGACAATAAGAGTTCTGTCTT